AACCCTTTTTTTTTAAATCGGTTTAAAATATTTTGTATCATTTTTCAGGTTTAAAGCTGCAACTTTTAACAGGCATATATTTGTAACTTTAAAGCTACAAATGTATGCCTGTTAATTGTTAAAAAATCAATATGAGAATTTTTTTTTCTTTTTTTTCATACCATTTGAAGTTTTGAGAAAAAATTATAAAAGGGTTTCTTAATAAGGACAATAGAAGAAAAAACAATAATGTTGTATGTTTAATTGTTTTAAAGGTTGTAAATGAAATCCGTCATTTTGCAGGAAGACTAATCTTTTTTTTCTATACAACTTAGAATGGCAAACAAGCTGACGGCCCGCCTGATGGAAAGTAGTAACCGTCGTCTATAGACATGAGCAGCACCATGGACATAACAGAGTATACTGTTTCGCCCATGATACACCCCATGCGTTGTCATTCCTGAGGACTCAGGTGTTATTCCTCCGTACCCAGTAAATTCACGCCATATCCCACCCTTCAAACCGAAACACAGCAATGCAAACACAACTGCTTCACGGTAGAAACACGAATGGGACAGAGGTACCCAAGCAATAGACTAATTAAATACAGTGGGGGAAAAAGGGATAGTTAGTAATAGGGCCTAACAGCTCCAGTGCTAGCAATATAACCTATCAGGCCGACCTCCACGCGGTTCTCCTTGGAACCATCGTGGGTTTTTGCGTGAAAATAGAATGGTAAACTCGCTATCGGTATACTCTAACGGGGACCAATGAAAGATAACAGATGAGGGATCTATACCCAGCAGTGGGATAATAAGGAATTGTTATCATTTAAAACGTTCTTTGTTTAATAAATTACTAAACCGTTTCGGTAACATCTAAACTGGACTAAGATAAACTTAAAAAAAAAAACTATTTAAAAATTTCTTTCATTTCTAAATAAAGTTACATTTTCAGCGAGTATCATGGGTTATGTTTCATTTAAAAAAAAATCGACCGAAGCCGGCGCATTTCGCTAGTCGTATATACGAGTATGTTGCAGTCAAAACTCTTAACCAGTCAAAAGTACTATTGACTAGCAAAATCAGTCAAAAGTACTTTTGACCGTATGCTTTAGTCATTAATACTTCTGACTAAAATAACAGTTAAAAGTACCTAACCTAACTTAATATTGGGGGGAAAGGGATTGTTAGCAATGGAGTTTGACAGCCCCATTGCTAGCAATATGCCTTATTAGGTCGACCTCCACGTGGTTCCCCCTGCAAAACTATCGTGAACAATTCTTGTTGAATTCGTCACGATGAGCTAACTGACCTGCTTTATCCTCACTTATCATCCTTCACTGCTGCCCCGCCGGTGTATACCGATAGCGCGGGTGGGGTTACCATTCCATTATCATCCATTAAAAAAAAACCTAACTTAATCGCAAATTTGCAGTCAAAAGTACTAATAACCAATAATTTTTAGTCAGAACCACTTTTGACCAACCTGTTCAGTCAAAAGTACTTTTCACTTTATTTTGCTAGTCAATAGTACTTTTGATTGGTTAAGAGTTTTGACTGCAATATATACATACGTGTAATATACACTATAGCATTGCTGTAATGTAATAAGAAAGTTTTTTTTTTTATTTTATGGGTGAAAATGCTATGGTAACCCCGCCTGCGCTAACGGGATACGCTGGCGGAGCACCAGTGAAGGGTGATCGATGACAACGAAAACAGGCCAGTTAGCCCATCATGATGAATTCATCAGGAATTAACCATAATAGTTTCCAGGGAGAACGGCGAGGAGGTCGAGCTGGTTGGGTATATTGTTAGCAATGGGATTCTCAGTCTCCATTACTAACAATCCCTTTCCCCCCGTAATAAGAAAGTTGTTTACGTTTAAAGAAATAAACATCTCTAATTAGATGTTTTTCTTGGCAATAATAACATGTTGCGAAGCCTTAGTGCCAGCTTTGAAAGATGACATATAAAAAAAAAATAGTAACAGCCAATTATCCGAACGTTACCAGAGGGAGACTTTGTACACAAGTCGATTGCTTGGGTACCTCTGTCCCATTCGTGTTTCAACCGTGAAGCAGCTGTGTTTGCATGGCTGTGTTTCGGTTTGAAGGGTGGGATATGGCGTGAATTTACTGGGTGAGTCGGTTTCGTGAAATAATAACAACATTGTCGAAACCGCTCGATTGTGTCGACCATCCCTCCTCTTACGTAGGGAAGATGTGATTTTCCAAAGTAATATGTCAAATATTGTTTTGTCTTAATTTGAAAATGATTTAAAATATATTCCTGAGCTAACAATATTAATTATTATTGATATATATTAATTGTATTCAATATATATATATATATATATATATATATATATATATATATATATATATATATATATATATATATATATATATATATGTGTGTGTGTGTGTGTGTGTGTGTGTGTGTGTATATATATATGTATATATATAATGATTTATAATTTATGTAAATATTTATTTCAATTTCTGTCTTGCACTACTACTACCCACTCACTACTTCCTATGCCACTGCGTTAGGTTGACTGGAAGAAATCTCTTTCAGAGTTAAGTTCGCCTTTGCTAACATTGTTATTAAGTTATTGTTGTTACTGTATATTTTAGTGCAATAAAGAAGAACTTAAAGAAATATTTTGTCTTAACTTGTGGTCCTAATACAGACTCTGGCCACTGCTAATGACAATTTATGTATGTGAAAAAATTTGACTATATATTTTTTTTATTGATGCTAATGGAATGGTAAGAAGAATGAAAAAGAAGAAATAAAGAAGAAGAATGAAGTACCCCGCCTGTGTTAACGGTACACACTGGCGGGGCACCAGTGAGGGGTGATTGGTGAAATGAAAAGGTCAGTAAGCCCATCGTGATGAATACACCAGGAATTTAGCACAGTGGTTTCTGGGGAGGACCACGTGGAGGTCGATCTTATAGGGCATATTGCTAGCAATGGGTTTGATAGTACCCTACGTTATAGGAGGGATATGTATGTATATGACATATATATATATATATATATATATATATATATATATATATATATATATATATATATATAATATTTATATAGAAAAATATTCAATATTTATAGTATTTTAATAGCTAATAATACCATTTATTTCTTCATTACAATAAATTAATAATATTATAAATTACAAATCTTTAAATACATGTACTATAGTATATAGGTATCGTATGGTAAATTGATGTCTAAACTATATTTAGGCATGGTATTACAAGACATTAGGTGTACGCCCCTTGGCTGTTACAAATTACCTAATGTATGTATTTTATTTTCATTCTTTTATAAAAAAAACAATATGTCAATAACAATATCATGTCAATTAATGTACTTCATCTCATTTGATATTAATATCTCTTTTACTGTGTATTATGTGTATGTTTTTTTTTTTATTGTAATTTGTGTGCTGTAAGTAATGTAAATAAATTATTTATCTATCTATCTATATTTGGGTAATTATAGAAAATTAAGAAAAATTTTAACTTGAAGGCATAACTTTATAATTATATATGTTTTTCTTTATTACAGTTAAATAGTAAGAGTTTAGAACCTGTGTGAGACCTAACATAGAATCGAATGAATATTTACGTATAAGACTGCATTTTTTATGGGTGAAGATGAAATGGTAACCCCGCCTGCGCTATCGGTATACGCTGACGGGGCACCAGTATAGTACCCATAGTGACCAATTGAACAAGAATTAACCACTATGGTTTCCAAGGGGAACCGCGTGGAGGTCGACCTGATTTAACAACCTCATTGCTAGCAATACAGGGTGTATTGCTAGCAATGAGGTTGTTAAATCTCATTACTAACAATCCCTTTCCCTTCTGTCAAATTGTATCATAGGTATATATTTGATTGAATTTTAAACCAATTTTGAAATTGTTATAATTGTCTAAACTTAGATTATTACCTAATTTTAACTATATATTCTGATTATATGCAATCATAACTTTAAAATCATTTTAGTCTACTATTGTTCTGTTTATTTATCTTTTAATATAACTCTCGAGGAACGTGGAAGAACTAATGCAATTAACAATAGCTTTACATTTCTATTATAAACATTTATCTACATTATAAGATTGTCAGTATTGATGGACACCTTCATAATATATGTGAGGTAATATTTTTAAAAGCATAATTGTATGTTAATTTATTGATTTATAAAAATAAAAAAAAATAAAAATCCAAATACGTGCAGACACCTACAGAAATAAACAAGTACTTGCCGACGACTGTACTCTTGTTGCAAACAAGCACCTAAAAGAAAATGCGATATCAATTAAAATTAACAGATTTCGCATAGCAACATGGTACCGATGAAAAATGAAAATAAGAAGACATGAAAGGTGAAACATAGTTCGACAGTGGTTGGGGTGATCTCTGAATGCACAACCACCGCCGATACAATTCGCCACACATAAATACTAATATTCGCATTATACGCAATGAAAGGAACGCAAGCACGCACAGCCATCGATGGTACTCGTATTCCACCTTTTAATATTAGATTGTCGACATGTAACCACACTCAACAGTCGCCAAACGACGACCAGCAGATTAATAATTGAAACAATTCTGCAATGGGACACGCGCACGCCTCTCGCCATCCATAATCTATTCGTCCATCAAGTCTCCGGTCGCCGAGTGTCGTTTTACAACGTCAAACGTAGGGGCATCACAGTTAAAACTTATAACCTGACACGTACGTTTTTATTAACAACTGTTTTTTTTATGGATGGACATCGTCCGTCTCACTCTGGCACTGTGCACCTCTCTCTCTGCCGCCACCAAGTTCTCTGATATCGACGGACTTACATAAACGAATCTGTGTCACTGAATCGAGCCGAATACTGCATTACCCTGCACACATGTCATTAAGGTGTACCGCTGTGGTTTGCGATGGCGGTAGCGCGCGTACGGACAAAGCTCCCGGTCACCGGGCGATGGCTTACGTACCTGGTGTGAGCCTCTATGACGGCTGTTCTGGTGTAGCAGACGGGAGTACGCGGCCGGGAGCTCGCCCCTCGTCATCGACCTCGCGATTAGCTGCAGATCATCGCCAGCGCGCGGCCACCGTCCCCGATCGATTTTACAAACGCAATCCGGTCACACATGGAGGCACGAGCGAGGGAGACCCGGCGGCGTCTTACCTAGGGCGTATACGTACGTATATGTGTAGTGGGGCCAGCGAGCGCGGCCGCCGCACTCGCGCGTTTAATCCGACTCTAATTCGTTCGGTCGATGCTATGGCGGAGGCGACTCGCGCATGACTAGATCGGAGTCGGGCGCCCCGGCGGGCGGCGAGCGAGTCGCGCGCAGCGGCCCGCGCACGATCGATACCGCGAGCGTGCGCTGCGGCGAGCGGCTGCCTCCGAACCGACCCCACACAAATATACAACACCCGTTATTTATACGATGACGTTCGGAATCGACGTCATAATGAAAATTGAGCGAGCCTCTACGGGCGGAGCGCGCGCGTCGCTCGCCCCGTGACGCCGCTGCGTCCGCTAGCGCACCCTCGCGCCTCGCCCTCGGCCCTCGGCCGCTCGCACCGCATGCACCATGCACTCCCGCCACAGCCTAGACGCGAGCAGAGGGTCGAACTTGGCTCAACCGCGGCATATTAACCTAGTAACGCGACATTCGGTTACGCTTCGATATTTGAGCATGCTTCTGTGACTGCGATAGTAGATTCTGTAATCTGCTTCTATTGGTTTGCATTTATTATAGGGAAGGCATTTAGACGCAGTAGAATTTTGTGATTCGTTTACTGAAACATTTTAAATGTTTTATGCGTTAGTCTAGTGGGACGTTAAAATTTATATCTACGTATATTACGTGTATTTGAAACATTTATCCTGTAATGAATTAATTCTGCGAATTGTAAATAAAATAAGTACCTACTTGTATTAAGCAGATATCATTTTATGATACTTATATAGCCCAGTCATAATGAGTATACCTAACTTAATGATATTTGAACAAATTGCCTGGAGAATTACAGTAGAAATCCGAGAATAATTTTTGACCATTTGCAACCGTACGCTTTGTATGCAGAGGTTTTGACTTTGTTCATGAATATTATCTTTGGATTTTGGCTTGGCACACTCATTATTAATGTGTATAAATGCAGATTTAATATATTTTATGAAGCAAACGTCCCTTTCAGTGATACATTATTATTAACTAAAAAATTTTAGCTCGAAATATGTAATGTGTTTTTGTGTCTTGAATTATGAACATGTCAGCGGTGGGGAGTAGTAGTACCTAAAAGGAATGTAAGTTCGATTCTCGATCAAAAAGAATTACGACAATTGGTCACGATTAATCAAAATCTTTTAAATACATTTGTAATATTTAAAAGATTTAGGCCACCTCTTCCTTTCCGTGGGTGTCGTAAGAGGCGACTAAGGGAACTTAGTGGTCGAAGGATGGACAGCAGCGTCCCTCTTAAAACAAGCATGTTAACTGCTAGTGAAACCCCCAAATGGGGGAGTACTAACTTCAGTATTGGACAGTAATGGCTGACATGATTAAGAACTGAACCTTCAGTACAATTGTATAAGCTAATTATATAATTAATTAGTAATCAGATTGTTACAGTCAACTCAAACAAATTTGGCTCACCGTTTAAACTAGTTCCAATATGCTCGGTTTGAGAATTGACTTAACAATATGCTATTAATTAACCAACAATCAAGTAATGATTGACACAATGATTTAATTAAGTCCCGTACAATATAATATTTAATTCTAATTGAACTGTCAAATCTTAAAAATCATTAAAATAAATTTCTAATCATTTAATCAATCAATCATCTTTATTCAGATTCTTATGATTTATACAGATTCTTATGATACGTCACTTTATAATTATAATAATTACTATATGAAATAATAATAATTAAAAAAAAATACAATAATTACATTTACACTACAATTCACATTAATACAATATTCAAATCCATGCACTTTTGTCATTTAAATAGTCATTTAATTTATAATATGCTTTTGTACAGAGAGTCCTTTATATATATATATATATATATATATATATATATATATATATATATATATATATATATATATATATATATATATATATATATATATATATATATATATATATATATATATATATATCTTAAATTTTCTTTCATTTAAATGTAAAACGTCATCTGGAAGTTTATTATAAAAACGTATACAGTTCTCTATAAAAGATGTACATATGTATATATGTATATGTATGTAAATATAAGTAGTATATTCATTTATTTTAACATTTATTATATAAGTAGGTAGGTATTATATGTATTTATAGTGTATATATTTATGTATGTAATATTTTTATTATATATTTTATTATTTTATTTAACTGTATATTTGTTTATGTATTAATAGTTGGAGCACTTCAGCTGCCCGCTAACAAAATGCTTTCTCACTATATTGGGTTGACTGGAAGAGATCTCTGTCAGAGGTAAGTCCACACTTGCTCGCAACATTTATAAATACATTATTTTATATGTAACTTACAAGTGCAATAAAGAATATATAATATATAATAATTATACTGAAAATATATATGTCGCAGACGTGAATTCAAATGGATGTCGCGTGTACATTTCGCGTCAATCTAACGAATACGCCCCGCATAGACTGTTAGGGAACGGTTAAATTTCGACTGTCGTAGAGATCTTACATGAGTTCAACTTCGAAACAACATCAGGAGAGGTTTCATTCTTCATTCTATTACTTAAATCATTTGCAATGGCAGTGATTTACACTTCTTATATTCAAGCAAAAAAATATAATTATAAAAAAAATCCCATACAAAGAAAACAAAGGTTTACCTTGTAAAAACAATAGCTTCCAATATCTTAGCAATTCATTAACATTATATCAACCATCCTGGCATAGAATAAGCCACTCCTTCTCTCCCATGGGTGTCGTAAGAGGCGACTAAAGAAGGACGAAAGATGGGCAACAGCGTCCCTCTTAAAACATCTACAAAGCCAGACTGCGGTTGCCAATCCGCCTGCCAAGTGTGGCAACTACTGGCAAAACCCCCAAGGAGCTTATGCTCAGCAGTGGACAGTTAAAAGCTGATATGATGATGAAGATGATATCAGTCGTTAACAATCTACTGCTGAATATAGGCCGCCCCATAAGGGTGGTATTTGCCAGTAATTGCCACGTTTGAGAGACGAGTTGGCAACCGCAGTTAGGTCCTGGTTGTTAATGTGATGTTTTAAGAGAGACGTTTTTGAAAGAGACTAGTTGTTTTAAGAGAGACTAGTTGTTTTAAGAGAGACATTTTTGAGAGAGACTAGTTGTTTTAAGAGAGACGTTTTTGAGAGAGACTAGTTGTTTTAAGAGAGACGTTTTTGAGAGAGACTAGTTGTTTTAAGGGAGACGTTTTTGAAAGAGACTAGTTGTTTTAAGAGAGACGCTTCTATCCCTCGACTATTTGTTCTCTTAGTCGCCTGTTATGGTACCCATGGGAAAGGAAGGGATGGCCCACTCTATTCCGGGATCACTTGCGTCATCCGTCACTATCTAAGTCTGACATACATGGAGTATCTACTTTGTAGCTGTAATTTGGAAATGTTTGTTAAACGTTTAGAAATTGGCCTAATTACTTCCATTCTGCCACTCCAGGATAAACTAAGGCATGGCTACTAAAGTTCATATGGGATTTTGAGGTTCATTACGACTTTCGCCTATTTCTATCCTTAAAAAAGATCTAAGTTCTTTATTAAATATTCACTCATTCCTTTGAAGTGTTTAAAGATAATATTTACACAATAGATTATAAAAAAATATTACAAAAAAAAAACTGTAGTTTTTTTTCCTATAAAATATTATCTAAAGTATTTTGTGTAAAATTTTAAAAATATTCGTAAATAAAATTGTATACATTTTTTTTTTATTATTTAGTGCATTTTTAGTGGCTTGTTAATTTATATATTCACAAACAATTTTGTATATCTACATATATGTTTATTACAAAAAGGGAAAAAAAAATAATATTTGTTTGTTTGTAATGGATACATTTAAAAACTGTGCTATCGATATTAAAATATTTTTCACTTATAATCAGCTACATTATTATAGCTGAATGTAAACGTCAGTCATATGGAAAGGTTTTGCCAATAGTGTCCCCGCTTGGCAGGTCGATTGGCAACCGCAGTTAAGTTTTGGTGATGTTTCAAGCTGGACGCTGCTCTCGACCATTAAATTCAATTAGTCGCCTCTTACAACACCCACGGGAAAAGAAGGGGTGGTCCATTCTATGCCGGGACGACATGACTTACACATGAATATGGCATAGGGCAGTGAAATTATCTATAATTTAACTGCACTCTGATACGGAGGCATAACACCATAGTTCTCAGAAATGGTATCGCATGAAATGAGAAGTACCTTGGGCATCACAGTATATTCTGTGACATCCATGGTGGAAGTCATATCTATAGACGATCGACGTTTATCATTATGGCCGTTAGTTTACCGTTCTAAGTTTTATAGAAAAAAAGAAAGAAGGAAAATTTACAATGGACTATTCACATAGATAGCAAGAAGAATCGACAACCGGTAGCAAAGGTTACCCAGTAGTTACTGCGTACGGAAAAACTTAGTATACAGTGACACCCTAATATAGAAGAAAGGGGATTACTGGTAATGGAGTCCGGTCATTACTGGTAACATACCCGGCAAGATCCACGTCTTCATAGTAAGCAGTCGTGCTAAATTCCTAAAAAATTATCTTCACCCTATGTCTATGTCTTCTAAAAGATATGCCATATATATTTTATGGATGATAATCTTATGGCAACGCGGCCTATACCGGTACTGTAACGGCACCAATGGGATAGGTGAAGATGAAAGATTAATATACCCATTTTAACAATTTCACTAAGAATTAACCACGATGGTTCCCATAGGAAATCGCATGGAGGCCAACCTAAAAGTGCATATTGCCAGGGATAGCTTTTAACCCTCATTGTAATCTATAAAAGAAGGGGGGGAAAGGGATTGTTAGTAATGGGGACTGAGAATCCCATTGCTAGCAATATACCCAACCAGGTCGACCTCCTCGCGGTTCTCCCTGGAAATTATCATGATTAATTCCTGATGAATTCATCATGATGGGCTAACTGGCCTGTTTTCAGCCTCATCGATCACCCCTCACTGGTGCCCCGCCAGTGTATCCCATTAGCGCAGGCGGGGTTACCACTCCATTTATATCCAATAAAAAA